CGTCGTTCCGGTATTTTTCTGTTCGAAAATTGACACGTGTATATATCTATTCTTGTGTGTGTGTGTGCGTGCGTGCGCGCGCGCACCATCTCTGAAATATTATCGTCATAGAAATCATATGGGAAAATATTTCTTTCTTTAACAATAGCTACTTTTTTTTAGGAAAGTTACATTAAGGAAATGATGTGAATAAATAAGGCGCGAATAAGTAAATGCAAAAATAAAAATACGTTTTGTCTTTTTTGGGGGGGATTTTCTTCAAAATGCGAAAATGAGCATAATCTCTAAACTGTTTTTTTAGTTTATTGGTCTTTTATATTCTCTCAAAGTTTTGACATTTAAATTCGGGACACCCTGTATATATACTTGATAATAGTATATTTAATTATTGCTTAGTTTCCGTTCAGTGCTTCATGAATCTCTGTTCCATAAATTGTTATATTTAGAATTCGTCGTGTCGCGCTATCTCTTTAATACGATTGAATCTTTCGTTTATCAATCTTCCAATAGATGAGTTAATCAGTATTTTATGAAATGGTGTTTCCCGAGTTTGAGATTATTCGAAGATTATTATAAATTATTGTAAGGTATAAACAGCAGATTGATGGATGTTTGTGGAATTGTATAACTGTTGATTAATCGTCGAATAACAGATTATGAATAGTTAGGTATCGACAGTTTACAAGCTGGTATTGGTACTCTCGGATAATCGATGTTTTTTCTGAACTACAATATACATCACCTAGGAAAGGAGAAGATTAATAGCAATCTGCATTTTGCAAGAATAACAATGTTGATTACTATAAAGCCTATTTCTGTTAATTTTTTTTTGTAGTTTTTATTACTATTTTAAATACAAGAATATTATATATCTTTCTAATATTTCGAAATTATTATCATGATAAACATTCGATATTATACGCTGTATTATTTATAATAAATTAATAGATATATACATTTGAAATAAAAATTGTAGGATTGATATTGAAATACGTTAATATTTTTAAAAGATCTTAACTTAATTCTTAATACAGTCGTTTAGATATCGTAATGATTATTAGAAATAAAGATATATTCACAAGAAATAATCACCGTTTACCAAAGATTTTATTTTGGTTGGTTATCTGTGTTTGACGAATAAATTCAATCTAAAGTAATTATTAAATAATTGCTAGTAGTAGTAATTACTACTACTAGTTATCAAAGAAATATAAGTTTAGTTATAGATGGAAAAAAAGAAATAAAATTAAGCTACAGTTACTGAAAAAGAGTAAGTCTAACTAAAACTTCGTTACAAGCAACGAGTTGCTTCCCAGCCCTAGTCTTGTATTAATTAGCTATCAGAAAAAATTAATATCTTTTAGCATCAGATATTGATAGCATCGTTAATAAAAAAATATTTCTTTCTTTTATCGTTAATATGGAACGGATATCACGTCACCGTCTTATTATAAAATACGACCCGTATAACATAAAAAGAGCACGTTTGCGTTTCTTTCTGGTTGTGCAAACGAGTAAACTTGGGAACATACATGATTAGCATATAGCTGGTCATTCTATGAAGCATATGTATATACGCGCATGCATATGCATTGCGTAGGCTGGAATTAGCTTGAAATGTTTAATTGAACGAGCATTATCGACGTGCAAGTCTGTTCGCCGTCGCCGATTGATGTATTGCGTAAACATGGTGCTCAACCAAATCGACGCTCACTTTAATAATATTGGCAAGTAGCTAGACATGCGGGCGGATAAATCGGTCAAGTATTCTTCCAATTTAATTTATGATGACTCGATAATTTAAAAAAAAACAGTGAATATAATTAACATATTTTTGGATTTCCGATTAATTAATTAATTGAATCGTCTTACTACTAATTTTGATTGAGTAAAATGTGAAAATAAAAAGACTAACTATTTTACATAACTAACACTAAGTTATGTAAAATAATTAATACAACGTAGATTATTTAAAAAAATTGCATTTTATTGATTAACATGTAACTTCTCTTTATGCAATCACGCAGAGAGAATTTACATTATACAAGCTTCACAAGCGTATACGCACGAAGCGACATGCGTGGGGATGAACGAGAGACTAACAGGGATGGATAAAGCAAAAACCTGGTCCATGATAAATGTCCCGACACCCATCACGGCGCAACATCACGGCGTATCCCTCAAAACAGAGCTACAATCGCGGCCTCTCGTAACCATTATGCTAAAATGCAATCTCCTGATAACCACAGTCGCGCCATCGCGGAGCTTAATCTCACCTATCTCTGTACAGCCGTCGGGGAACGGAAACAAAATGGGAATGAGAGACTGGTTCCGCCTGGCCGGATGATTCGGGATAAAGAGGGCGGAATTGGGGATGTAGAAGGGATGGCAAAGAGAGACACAAATCCAGAGGAATAGGAGAAGAGAGAGAGAGAGAGAGAGAGAGAGAGAGGGTGAGAGAGGGCGGACAATGGTAACCGAGACTGGAGATACGAAAAGAAATAAATTCCGCAATCGATAAGCGTCCGGTTAAACGTCAAAGCGCACCGGTGTGGGTAGACGAGGCACTTTCGATCCTTGACAAAAAACACAATCGCCGATATCCAGGGGATATAGAGCGCGCTTGCTTGCTTTGCCTCTCTTTTCTGGCTCGCCCGCATCTTTTTTCTTTCCTACCGGAAAGTCGAGTCGATGTCGGAGTACACGTTGTAATGCCCGCGATCTCTTTAGATTTATTTCTCTTTTCCTTTTTTCTGTCTCCTTCTCTCTTTCTCTTTCTCTCTCTATCTCTCCCTCTCTCTTCTTCTCCGTTTCTAGAGGGGCTCTGCAATTTTACTACATTGCCGATAGAGATATCCGGTCAAGAATTATTTCCGCTGCTTGAAGGATTGTAAATCTCTTCCAAACGAGATCAAGTGTTACGTGAATAATTTTCTGTTATTAACAATATAAGATTTGTTGTATTTTTTTAATTAAAATATGAATACTATCACTTGCTTTTGTGCTGATAAAGAATAACCGAAACGTTTTATGATTTAATGTTAAACATTTCTTGGAATTAAATATTTATGTTAATATTTAAGCGCACTAATTATAGCACCGATTCCTAGCTTTATTTTCTTTATTAGTTTTTTTTATTATAAGAAATCTTATTGTTTTTTTTAATTATTCTGTTCTTTTTTCTCATTTTGTAAATATATAACTAAAATAGAATTTACAGATACAGCATGAACACAATTTACATTTTCTATTCCATGTTTCTGTTTAACATTTCAAAATTTAAATCTCTTCATCGAGATTTAAATTTTGTCGAGATAGTTCAGATTAAACGCTGTATGTGTGGTTTATTTAAAAGTTAAAAGTAGTGCAAGTCAACTATCAAAATGGTTTTATCCTATTTGCACGACGAACATAAATGCATTCATGGACAACAACGTGAATGTTGAATGTTAAATGTCAATACTACTAAATTTTCTATCGATATATCAAGTGTGACCTATTTATGATACAAATCAACTGAATAAAACTCTGCAAGTTAAAACTGCAAGTTAAGGTATACATTTATTTCAATGAGTTTCAAAATTCCGAAAGTTTTTGCTGTGACTTTCTTACGTGAGCTATTTATTATGGAGATGTAAAACCGAACGGGAATGTCCGTACCCTTCTTCCTGCGAAATAAACAGCTCATATATCGACGTCGTATCTTCCATCATGACGTAATTCGCTTAGCTATCGACAGCCATTGCCACGACTTAGTCAGCGGAGGAAAGAAGTATTCCCCGAGTGGCGGCGGCAAAATCGTTCGGCGTTTAGCTCTCTTTCGTGGAGCGTTCGGAAAGTTTAGATACCTCTTCGGGATCCTCTTCCAGGCGAGCGAATAAGCAGGCATTAAAGGCTTAGACCAGAGATCGAATTGGAAGTACCTACGTAGTCTTCCTGCACCTTTCCTTTCCATCTTCTTCTTGCAATTTTCTCTCTCTCTCTCACACACACACACACACACACATACACACACACACATACACACATCCACTCCACGCATACATTCGCCTGATCGCCATCGTTCTGTAACGAGGACCAGGTATGGTCGCACTGGGATAGGTTAAGCATCGAGAATTACCGAGATCCTCGAACGGGTTCGCAAGGCATACCGGAGCAGAGGATCATCTTACGATTGTATTCGAACTTCAGATCAAACTAGATCTGGTCAAGCCGAACCAGTTTGGCCAAACTTATATTTTACTGTTAACTCTACTTTTTCCAAATTCTGAATAATAGGTAATACGATGATTCCGAATGATAGTCGAAATCACGTTGATACATATACACGAGACAATAGCTCTTTCACATGCAAGTGCTTGAATAAGTATACAGTCGTAGTCAATGATTGCATACTTACACAACTACAAGCTGGCTTTATTCTAGTATTAGACAAACATTCTATTATTCTATTACTACCGATTGTAATTATGACGTATTACCGGAGACTATTATAACAAATTTCATAATTGATCAATTGATATATACGTAAATAACTGATAATTAGGAAATATTCTGTCTTCTGTATAGAGATTAACTTCGGGACGTACCAAACGTAAAAATATATAAACGTAGCATATAATATGTATTGTCATGCGTTTAATATTATGTAATATACGTCTGTCATTGTTATGTTGGAACATTTCAATTTGCCGCCTGAAAGCGCGAATCTGTAATTTTACATTTTAATGTGTTACGCTCTGTCGTCTATGATAATTGCAACATTTTTGACTATTATTTTTTTAGATTAATATGAACACTTTTTTTTCAGCGTCGCCGAATCACCGCGAAGCAATCCAAGCTGAACGTTTTCAGAACGCATTCGGTGAGTCGACATTTATTTTGCACGATTAATTTGCCCATTAATCTTACGCACGGAGCGTGTAAAATAATTAATGGAGTCAGTTCGATTAATGGCGTATTATAGGCAATAATCTATCTTTAATTTATTAAGCAATTAATTAAAAGATTAAAAGAAATAAAAACAGCTTTATCCCTTTACTTTGAATTTTATTTAACTATAATTATATGAAATTTTATTGCCCAATATTTTCGCGCGGCATCCGGAAAGTGTAATATATAATATCTACAAATACGAGCTTAAGATAAGAGTGCATCTGTTTGTTTTTCCATCGTACATAATTCAGAGAGTATTTGTATTTTTGTGCATGAGAAATTATTTCTCTTTTCCGCGAGAGATATCGTCCTACCCGTCCAAGCACTTCGTCTGGAACAGTTATGTTGTCCGATGCGTTCGAAAACCTCTCTCCGTGATTACCTTCCGCGGTGTCCCTCTCCACTCCCGGATAAAGAAGTGGGCTTAAAATCAGAGCCGAGCTTAAAATTGCTCTACCAGCGAGCGCCGCCGACCTACAAGCTCGTTCTGTCGTGACAGGAAGCGAGAACGTAGGAATGGCTGAGGTTAAGTATCGAGGATCGTCAAGCTACTCGACCGATTTCGTTCCAAAGATGAAAGCGCTCTTAATGGAGTACCATTGTCTGGTTTCGTCCAAGTTTCGTCCCGTGACGTCCCTTCTCCTGGCTCAACTGAGCTGAGGCACTCGCCGTTTTATCGTTCGGGATTTTGGGTTCGACCAGCCGCCGCCGCTTACAAGGCGGTTCGTAAGACGAAGGAATTGCTTGAACCTTCAGCGTAATTAATGGCTTCATCAGTTCGTCCCGCCGACTAATTAATTCGCCGTCTCTTGAAGACGTGTCACTCTCCCCTCGAAAACTTTCCCCGACACTTCTAATACGGAGATTCGAATATTAATCGACTGAGCGTGAGAAAAAAACGAAGGACTTGTTACCGAGGACAATGATTGAAATCTCTGGTCTCGTGACAAATGTCTTGTCTATGATGATAAGGATGTTACGTATGTTACTAGCGAATCTTCATTTTGATGAGATTCGAGAGATATACATACTATAAAGTAGCATATTCAAAATAATGGCGCGGAATGTTTATTTTGCAATTGTTGGAAGTTTTCTTCGTCGAGATAAAACTAGTCCTTTAGTTTAAAAAGTATAATCCAATCAATGCGAAGCGCTTACTTACTAAGTGCTCTTCTGCTGAAAGAAGAAGCAACCAAAGAATATATGTACTTTTGTACATATTTTGCATTACAAACTTCTACAATATAATGTGTAAAGTGTTTCAGAATCCCGATGTTTTAAACTCTTTGCAGTGATATAAAATTTTGCGGAAATTCAGTTTTTACACTAACATTTTCATATCAAAAACGTCTTAAATAAATGTAAATAAGATAGAGATCTTACATTTGAGATTTAATACAGGCTATTTCAAAATTCTTCCCAACTTAATAAAAATACTATATTGGTTCTCAAAAAATTAAGTAAACAAATTATTTGTAAATTTTAATTTTAAGATATAGCTTTTGAAGTAATAAGGTGTTTTAATATAGCTAATTATAGACTAAGTTTAGACGATCACTTGTGAGTATTAGCGTGCCAAAGTGTGCACTTACTGTAATACTATTGCATGTGACTCATGGACAGATGACTGTCTAATCATAATCTGTAATTGGCTATGTTTAAAGGAGGATCCTGGTTTAGAATCTTAAAACAATTAAAATTGGTTTTTTTTTTCATATTTTTATAGTGAAACATTCAAGTAAGATATTCCTATTATTTCGAAATTCGAAAAATTGACAAAATTGTAAGCGACAAAATTGTAAGTTAGCAGGTAGCCGTCCGACTATTCGACACACTCAGGTAGGAATCTCCGCACAGCTCGTGGAGATGTGTTTGTGTTCGAAACACCTCAAGCGCATTCAATGGAAATAGAATCTGTCATATGCACAATAAAGAACATCTATTTTATGGAGAAGAATACAGATAAACCAGAAATTAACTGTAAATATACAAAAATTTACTAATACAAAAATTTTGTATTTGTAACTAGAACTTTAAACGCGAGTATTTAGCATTTTTCTTGAATTCGTGTTTTTTAATTCAGTTGATATCATAACTTAAAAATTAATAATCGAGTCGAGTTTATCTTACGCGATATTACGTCCTAACAATGTACATAATTCGGCTAAATATTAATAAAACCTTTTAAAAAAATGTGTACTTGATTATTAATATAAAATGTGAGTTATAGTTTAAAAATATTCCTAAATTTGTTCCATTTCCGAGCATTCTAAAACAGGATTCCCCTTAAACTATTATATTTCAAAAATTACTGCTTAAAATAAAAAACAAATTTTTTCATTATATTTTTCGAGAACTATCTTGATATAGCATTTTGAGTCGCGAATTATACGATTATATAGTCCTATATATTTATATAGCAATATATTCAAAAGCTAAAAATTATTCAAAGCTCATCGAGAATTAGACAAGGTTTTCATAAGGCAATTGTTTGATGAAACTTTTGTGAAAAAAGCGTCCACAATATGATTCAATTGCAACACAATTATTAGTTAGCTATTTCGATATATGATCGATATTATAAAATGAGAATTGCGTGTCGAGTCGACTCACGAGGAGCAATAATTTGCGAAACTCATTAGCGCGCTCTCAATTCAATTTAAAATATATATATCTCTCTTTCTGCCTCTCTCCCTCTCTCGTAATCTCACCGAATTTCCTGACGCTGAGATTCCCGCATATGTATTATTATATGCATTATGCATATGTTTCCGGTCGCGCCCCAATGCACCGTTACGTCCTGACGACCGTGATTCAAAGATACATATCTCAGATACTACTTGTATATGTATATGTCTCAGAACTGCGAATATCAGAAGCGGAGGTGAACCCAAGGAGAACATTGCACAGTTCTTGAAATATCGATATTTTGTCCTTTGTAAATCTAGTACCTCCATCATTAAAACATGTTATAATATATGTTATAATTAAGTGCTAATTTATTGCTAATTTATTGCTTTAGTCCTTTTTATTGCTCCTATCTATTCATAGGAAATTCATAAGAATTAATAGCAAAAGTGGAAGTGCTGACGTTACGCCAACACTCCCACTTCCGGAAAACATAGTTTATTTGTTTACAGTGTTCTATACACGTTTTTTGAAAGTTGGAATGCTACGTAGTATTGTATAATATAAAGTCAGCATTTTTACTTTTAATATTAATTTCCTGCGAATAGATAGGGATAATAAATTCGAAACTAGAGTAATAAATTAATAATTATAGCAAGAATGAAGAAAAAATTCTAATATATCGATTTTATATACTTATTTATTTTTTTTTTTTTTAATAATTTTTTATTTCATAGGAGTAACATATTTCATAGTTACAAATGATTATGTTAAACTTCCATTATGCATGCAATTAATAAAAATCAATTTTAAAGTTTGCCTTTTTTTTAAACATAAGATTTTATTTTTTTTCTTTTTTTCTAAGATATGTAGCATTGAAAATTACAGTGGAAACTAGATTACAATGAAAATATCGAAAAAAAAAATCGAGAAAAAGTATGCTGACAACCAACATTGTGCATATTAATCGATTTAAGTTTTGCTAAAATTCGGTCATGTTCAAAGAATTATCGCGTTAATTCTTAAATTTATCATCCTCCTGTCGAGATAACACGTCTATACTTTTCAAATATGCTGAAGGAAAAATCGCGGCAGGCATTAAAAAGGGATCTTCAACCTTCTTGAAATGAGAAACGCAGGTCGAAGAATGACTCGACAAAGTGGAAAAGGGGATTAACGAGAAAAGAGGGGTGGATGAGTTACTTGGGAAGGTTACGGTAATCCGACGAACTCATCGTGTAATTTCCCATAAGGCGGCGCGAAGGAGGCTTGTATTCCGCTTTTGTCGAAACTTTCAGCAAAGTATATTTCACCATCCTAGTACGTATATCTCTACGTCGATCTGCCTCTCGCCAACATTTCACATCGTTTACACTTTCCGTTTTGCAGTTTCACTTTCTGTTTTAACTGATTTGTTTCTTTTTTTATTCCTAATATATTGTTGTAATTTGTTTGCGCGTAATTCTTCCCCGCTTTGACTTTAATTCATGTTTATTGTTATTATTTCATTTTTTAAATATTTCTTCTCTCACAGCGTCTGTCTCGCCGAGTTACACTGCACCTCGGACGGTGCAGTTTCGCGCGCGTGTCGCGAGGCTTAATTAGGCTAATGGATATCCGTAATTGATGCAACGAGATTGTCCACTCGAGTGTTGAATAACGTCCGCTGCCGACCTCACCGCGCCGTGATATAATTCGTCCTCTCAGCAAGAAGCCCGTCCGGTCTCGTGAATTTTTCGGGCGTACGCTTGGCAGTAATCTTAGGATGCATTATTCAAAATTTATCTTGTCTCGCGAGTTACAAAGTTCCGTACTATGCGTATATAATGTAAAAATAGGCAACTTTTATCGTGGGTCGAGTCTGAAAGGTAATATGAAAATCTCGATAATCGAAAAATATGGAGCGTCAAGAGGATAGTGCTAATCTCAAAATTTTTCGAATCTTCTGATCTATCGCAAAATTATAAGTATAACATAATTTAGAATATTTATTAAATTCCAGCAATTCTGTACGTAACACAATATATTCTGGAAAAAGAGTCTACTTGGTTCAATTGGAATTCTTGTGAAAATGGACAAATCAGAATTTTCTAGTTGAATCTATTATATAATTCTAATTGAGATAATCCTAAAATTTTCATCAATATGATCAGAATCTGTATGGCCATCTTCTGATTGGTTCATTTTTAACTGAGAATTTTTCTCAGTGCGTAAAGTGGTAAGCTCTAATATCAATTCCGACAAATCTAGGGGGAGATTTTTGTGATCGCAAAAATTTATTGAGATTCAAAACGAGAATGA